TCCTTTTTGAAATAACAGGAACCAGTCCCATCCAAAAGAACCCAGCATTTATTGCTCCTCTGAGGTGACCATTGAGGCATTGGGATTTTATTTTTAATTCCCTGGACCATTAACACAATCAGAATTCAGACATGGCCAGTCACTGAATGCTACTAAGGAAAAGTGATTTTTTTTTAAAAAAAAGTTTGATTTGAGAAAAAGGGCTTGATAACCTGAAATTTTTCCATTTCTTCTTCTTTGTAAAACTGTATCAAATCATTCTATGACAGTGTCATTTTTAAGTTTTAAAGTATGGTGTGAAGACTTAAAATACATTTAACTTAATTTAAAAAATGTTTCTTATTTTAGGACAGTGGTTTCTATACAGAGAAACACTATCTCAAATCAACAATGAATGAATGAATGAATTAACAATTAAATATTTATTTTTATTGAATTCTTTTTCCCACTTAGTCATGGATGGTTTTATGAGTGCTTAACTTTTTGCGTTCTTCTTTTCTCTGCCACATTGCTCTGTCAGCTGTGCACTGGCAGAGGTCTGTCCTGTTCTGTCAGCTGCCTCCCTCCCTGCCTTGCTCCTCCTGTCTTTGCTCCTGTTCCTGGGTCTGTCTCCTGAGCCTTCTGCATCTTTTCACTGCCTACACCTGCATTGGGAATTGTTTCCCCCTGCTTTTCTCTGACAGTCAGATTTGAGTCTTACAATAAGGTCTCTAATCCATCTTGAATAGATTATTGTGTAGAAGTACAAATTGAGGCTTGACATTCTGTGTGTGGACCTCCAGTTTCCCCAGCATTGTCTGTTCAGGGAGAGATATTCCTTGTCTGACGTTTGTCTCTGACACATTGTCAAAACAAGATGGCTGTACCTGGGTGACGTTATATCCCAGCCCTGTGTTCTGTCTTGTTGGAGACCACGTATCCTCTGGCTGCCTCATTCCCATGGCCCTGTCATGTAGTTTGAGATCAAGTATGGTGATTCCAACATTGTCACTCCTCCACACAGGACCCATTGTGTTGGCTGTTTGGGATCCTCAGTGCTTCTGTAGGAATCCTAGACTGTTCAGTGGCATCGTGTTTATCGCTTGAAGTCTGCAGGGATTCAGGGATTTAGGAGCCATACCAGACAGCTCAGCGAGGAAGGGAACCTCTAAATGCTACGAATCAGGGCTTTTCCTACCCTTTGCTTGAAGACCCAGTCTGAAACATTTTCTAGTGTATCTCAAGATAATCTCATTTGTATCTTTGGTATCTTTGCCGTGGATGTAGCAAGTGCTTAGCAATATTTCTCGTGAATTGGTGAATGGAATGGAAAGTGACTTAACATCACCGACAGTCATGCCACTCATGCCACTCCTCTGGGACATTTCTGTTACTTAGATATAGACACTCCTCCCACCCTAGCATGTACCTCTGCTCACATAGTGCAGCTATAACCCTTCCTGTACCTTGACAGTTGTCAGTAATCACTAAATGTTAACTACAAGTCTGTGTCATTCTCTGGGAGGGCTTCCTGTGGACCCCCCCCCCCAGGTGTTGGAAGTGTTCTCACAGTCAAGCCCAAGAGAGACTCCTGCATCTGTCTGGCATGAATCTCCCCCAAAGTTTCCTCACTGCCTCCTCAAAGCAGCCCCGAGGCAGGCAAAGGGCAGGGGTGAAGACTTAGGGCTCAGTGCTTTGGTAATAGCATCTAAAGCTAGGCACTCAGGGCTTTAGAACCTTAAGCAGGTCACGTCTCAATGCCCAGCCTGCAGCCAACAGCCTCCCAGGCCTCCATCAGGCCCTCCTAGGCTGTTGCCTATGTCTGGTCAGGGGCTGAGGGATGTTTCTCCCCAAATGTCTTTTGCCCTCAGGTCTGAAGGTCATTGTAGGTGCCCTGCTGCGCTCGGTGAAGAAGCTGGTTGATGTGATGGTCCTCACTCTCTTTTGCCTCAGCATCTTTGCCCTGGTTGGTCAGCAGCTCTTCATGGGGATTCTGAACCAGAAATGTATTAAGCACAACTGTGGCCCTAACCCTACATCTAACCGTAAGTTCCCACTGTTTATCTTTCGCTTTTGTGCACAGTCGATTCCCATCGACTGCCCACTCCTACGGTCTGATTACTCTGTCCTTAGAAGCAAAGGCCAGGCTGTCCACCCTGACACACATACACATGCACGCACACATTCCTAGTCATAGCCGAGTCTCGTTGGCCTTTGCCCGGGGCCGGCCTCCATCTGGGGTTGAATGAGGAGGTGATGACAGTGATGGTCCACTTTCCCATCTCTCTGTCCTTCTTTCCTTCCATCCTCTTCTCGCTCTAAGGCTCCATCCCTTCCTGGATGCCCATGTTGACCACTTCAGAGAATTAAAATTCAGCTGCTTGAAAAGTAGTCTGACACATTTGCTATCTGCTATTCTTTTACATATTAGTATTCCTCTCTGTGGCTTTCTTCTCTTAGAGGATTGCTTTGTAAAGGAAAAAGATAGCGAAGACTTCATAATGTGTGGCACCTGGATTGGCAGCAGGTAAGAGGTCTAGACTATATTCTTCCAAGTCAGCTACGCTGTGAGCTTTGGGATATGAGTGCATAGTCTTCACGTATTGACTAGTACAGCAGTCAGAGTTCCCAGTGATGAGTTTCCTGTGTTTAAGCAAGTTTATTTATTTACTTTAGTTTTCAATTATTCTTACTTTTTAAATTTTATTCATTTCTATGTGTGTGGGTGTTTTGCCCACATGTGTGTACCATGTGCATGCAGTACCTGTAGAGGCCAGAAGACAGTGCCATATCCTCTGAGACTGGAGTTACGGGTGGTTTTGTGCCGCCCTGTGAGTACTGGAATGGAAGCTTGGTTCTCTGGAAGAGCAGCCATTGTTGTTAATGCCCACTGTAGGCTCCTAACTTTTGCTTTTAAAGTCAAAGTCTCATTACATTTCCCTCAAACTTAGGATGGTCCTCCTGCCTTTGCCTTCCAAATAGCTGGGACTATAGGTATGCCCTTCCATGCCTGGCTTACACAGGCTTAGATTTGTTTTATTTAAATGAAAATTATGCTTTAGCTGGGCAGTGGTGCCCAGAGACACCATGAGAGACAGAGGCAGGTGGATTTCTGAGTTCAAGGCCAGCCTGGTCTACAGAACAAGTTCCAGGACAGCCAGGGCTATTCAGAGAAACCCTGTCTCAAAAAACAAGGCACTCACCCCACCACCACCAACAGATTATTTCCAAGTGTGGCTAGTAGGTTTCTTTCCTGTTATGTAGAATTGGTAGCTCACAAGAAATACATAGAAAATTCAATAATATTTCAAATTTGTGGAATGGGTTTTCCAATCTTTCCAAGGAGAGTAGTTAAATAAATAATAGAACTATAAGATACGAAAAGGAATTCCTCCTTGTTTGAGCACAGAATAGCCTACATTAATCCGTAAGGAGGCAGGCAGCATTCTCATGAGGAAGCTACAGAAGATTGCTAAGACATACTCCCATGCATTTATTATAAAAGATACACGTGGATGAATGAATAGATCAATGTGTATTTCTCTCTCCATGGAGAACTGGGAGCTTATAAAGCTAAAGGTTAACTGTACTGGTAGAAGGTAGGACCAAGGGACTCAGGAGGGAGACTTAGTGACTATTATGTATACTTTCTTTTTCAGGCTACAAAATTTTTATTTTAAATTATGCAAATCACCGTTGTCCCAAATCCCATCCTTTTTCTGTTCTTTTCTCTAATTTCATTTTTGTTTTTCTATTTATCTTTTTATCCTTTGTCAGTGTCATTGATGTATACAATGAATTTTAGTGATTTCCCCATTGCCCTCCTTCTCTCTGCTCCTTCTCCCTCTGAAACAGGTCTTCTTCCCAATATGCCCCCTCCTTCCTTTGTGGTGTGTGTGTGGTGTGTATGGTATGTGTGGTGTGTGTGGTGTATGTGTGTATGTGTGTGTTGTGTGTGGTATATGTTGTATGTTGTGTGTTTGTATGTCTGTATGTATTGGTGTGTGGTATGTGGTGTGAATGTGTGTGTGTAAGTGGTATGTGTGTGTGTATATGTAGTGTGTATGTGTGTGTGTGTATGTGGTATGAATGTGTGTGTATATGTGGTGTATATGTGTGTGGTGTGTGTATGTGGTATGTGTGTGTATGTGTGTGTGGGCTGTATGTGTGTGATGTGTGTGTGGTGTGTGCGTATATGTGATGCATGTGTGTTTAGTGTGTGTGGTGTGTGTATATGGTGGTGTGTGTGTGTATGCATGATGTGTGTGTATGTGTGGTCTGTATGTGTGTGGTGTGTGATATGTGTTGTGTGTGGTATGTGTTGTATGTTGTGTGTTTGTATGTGTATGTGGTATGTGGTGTGTATGTGGTGTGTATGTGTATGTGGTGTGTGTGTGTATGTGGTGTGTGTATGTGGTGTGTGTGTATGTGGTGTCTGTGTGTGGTGTGTGATGTGTGTGGTGTGTGTGTGTGTATGTCTGGTGTGTGTGTTTCCCACTGAGTTTAATCAGGGTTGCTTACAGGAACATGGCTGAGAGGTTAGCCACTGGAGTACTGGAGCTTACCAGTGGCTATGCCCCTTCCCCAGCAACCACTACCTGTCAATCTTTGCTCATGGAGAAGGCGGGGCCTCTTGTGGGACCCCCAGTTCCGTGATGGGATGTTGACAGGTCCCATCTTGTGCAGCTCTGTGCTCCTGGGACTCGGGTTTTTATATTGCTATAGTGCCTTGGATCTGCATTTAATCTTTCAGTGAACACCTGGCTGATATGATTTCATCACCAATCCCTTGGAAGGGTCAATGAGAGTCCTTGAGGGGACATCAGGGAAACTCAGCAGTCGGGGGGGGGCATGGAGAGGTGGCCATTTATGTTTTTTTGAGGATGTTGGGTGGCGGGTGAGGGGAATCTAATCTTTCTCCATTCCTTTGTCTCCCACATCTAGATCTTGTCCCGATGGTTCTACATGCAATAGAACCACATTTAACCCAGACTATAATTATACGAACTTTGACAACTTTGGCTGGTCTTTTCTTGCCATGTTCCGGGTTATGACTCAGGACTCCTGGGAGAAGCTCTATCGACAGGTTCTTGTTTATATTCTCTCTAACTTCCCCATCCATTCCGACTTCCCTGTCTTAACAACCCGTTTATCATTTATTTAAAGCCTACCCTCCAGCTCCTCCATTGTCTGAGCTGAGCTGGCTGTACAATCGAATCCTGCTTCAGAGATTGTGTTAGAAACTCTAAGACGATGAAACACGAGGCTGGAAATAAGAGCACAAACAAACTCTTTCTTTATGCATTACCCGCTGCCTGCTTTTCCACTCTTAGCTCCTCTCTCTCTCTCTCTCTCTCTCTCTCTCTTTCTCTCTCTCCTCTCCCTCCTTCTCTCCCTCTCTCTTTCTCCTACCTTTTCTATTTTGAAAACTTACAAACATAACTGAGAGAGTTACGGACAGTCACCTGAGGGAGGGTAGCCTCTCTGTGAATGTTTGGCAGATCCACTGCAAGAGGAAATTTCAGGAGTTGCCGTGTCACTGGGAGGCAGGAGGCGGTGCCTGTCTTGCCTTTTGGTTTCTCTGGATCACAATGAACCAAGAGGAATTGTCATGGGCCACACCGGGGGTGGGGGTAGTACTCACACTTGCAGGTTTTGAGATCACACATGTATTTCTTTTGCAAGATGATGCAGCAGTATTTGGCCATTCACAGAGTTCACTCTTAGCCGTGCAGCTGAGGCTGGAGAGATGGCTCAGCAGTTAAGAGCACTTGATCCTCTTGGGTTCAGTTTCTAGCAGCCCTGCAGCATACAGCTCACAACTGCCTGTCACTCCAGCCCTAGGGGACCTGACACCTTTTTTTCTGGCTATACACACACAGCATGCACCGTCACAGACAAACACATAAAGATAAATAAATTTTAGAAAAGAACCATGCGATTGAGTTATAAAATATTCTAAATCATCTCATGTTTTAAGTACGTTTACGATTTTGTGTTTGGTTGCATTAGTAGCTGCTCTGGGAACGGTTAGACATTCCTGCTGAAGACCCGAGCATCTGCGACCATATCATCCTGTTGGACTATAGAAGGTACAACAGATATATGCTGTGTTCTGCCCCTTGCAGATCCTCCGGACCTCTGGGATCTACTTTGTCTTCTTCTTCGTGGTGGTTATCTTCCTGGGCTCTTTCTACCTGCTTAACTTAACCCTGGCCGTCGTCACCATGGCTTACGAAGAACAGAACAGAAATGTAGCTGCTGAGACAGAGGCCAAGGAGAAGATGTTTCAGGAGGCCCAGCAGCTGTTAAGGGAGGAGAAGGAGGTAGGGCTTAGACAACAGGAACACAGAGACGCTGAGAGGGAGGCTGAAGGTGGCCTCTTGGGGCTGGGTCTCAGCTCTTTAGTGCCCTGTGTTTTACTGAGAATTTGAGCCCGATGCAGCCGGCTGTGTTGCTGCTATTCTCAAGCTGGTCGGGACTCAGGTTTATGGAGAATGTGGTCTCAATGCTTATTGAATTCTGGAAACCTTACCAAATCACTGGCTATAGAATGTAACTTTTTTATGTGCACACGTAGGCTCTGTTGCAAACCCTCTTATGCAAATCCGAAGGTGCTTTTCCTCAGAAACTTTACTGGGGGAGGGCTGGGGCTCTACTACCAGAGATGGTCTTGTTCCTCTCTTCCTGGACTCCCATCCCAGCTACAAGCCCTCCCAAGATCGTCCCCTGCCATTACACTCTCTCCTCCGCTCCTAGGATTTTCAGGGTAGTAACAATAGTTTTCCACTCTGCTGTTTTCTGCACACCTCAGATTTGTCTGACGGAATCCCATGGTAATTCCTCAGTGTCCCCAGGCATAAATGAATATATACCGAGTCCCTAGCACATTCGAGGTGTTTCTCTAAGGATCAGTCATGGGGAAGCATGAGAGAGTTAACCCTGCCTTGCACAACTGCCAGGCCTGTGTTAGGAAAAAAAAAAAGAAAATAGAAAATCAAGCCACTCCCCAGATAAATGACAGCCCAGCTACACATTCAAAGGAGGCAAAGGGCTACCTAAAGGATTCAGTGTGACAGGAGAGAGTAGAGTATCTCCCTGAGGTTGGGGTCATCTGCATTTTCACTGGGAAGGTATCTGTTTGTTAATTGCTTCTGTTCTCTCTTAAAGGCTCTGGTTGCCATGGGAATTGACAGAAGTTCCCTCAATTCCCTTCAAGCATCATCCTTTTCCCCAAAGAAGAGGAAGTTTTTTGGTAGTAAGACAAGAAAGTCCTTTTTTATGAGAGGGTCCAAGATGGCCCGAGCCTCAGCGTCTGATTCAGAGGACGATGCCTCTAAAAACGTAAGTCTTCTCCTGGGGATCAACAATATTACTGTGCCTCCGGGAGAATGGGTCTGCCACAGCCCAGTGAAAGCACTCCTCTTCCCTCCTCTCGTTTCTCTATCGGTGTGCTTGTGCATACACTCAGCTCTCTATGCGGCGATTCCGGTATACATGTGAGCAGTCAGTCACAGTATGCATGAGACTTGCGTTCTCTGTCACCGCAACAAAATTCCCAGTGGAACAACTTCAGGGACTAAAGAATTATATTGGTCCAGGTTGAGGGACTTGCAGTGCATCCTGGCAGGGAAGATATGGCTTCAAGATTGGCTCAGACTAAGTTAGCAGGAGAACGAGGCAGCATGGTGACCAGTCCATTGCAGCAAATGACCAAGAGGCAGAGAGTTAGAACAGGAGGTATGGCCTTCAAAGCCCATAGTGGTTGTCTTAGTTAAGGTTTTGCTGCTGTGAACAGACACCATGACCAAGGCAAGTCTTATAAAGGACAACATTTAATTGGGGCAGGCTTACAGGTTCAGAGGTTCAGTCCATTATCATCAAGGTGGGAGCATGGCAGCATCCAGGCAGGCATGGTGCAGGAGGAGCTGAGAGTTCTACATCTTCATCTGAAGGCTGCTAGCAGAATGCTGACTTCGAGACAGCTAGGATGAGGGTATTAAAGCCCACACCCACAGTGACACACCTACTCCAACAAGGCCACACTTCCAAATAGTGCCATTCACTAGGCTAAGCATATTCAAACCACAACAGTGGCCTAAGCACCATGCTCCAGAGGGTCCATAACCTCCCAAAAGTAAGACCACCATCTGGGGACAAAGTCTTTGAGTACATGAGCCTGTGGGTTATTAGATTTCTGAAGCAGCCTAAAGAGACAGAAGGCAGAAAGAAACCTGAGTCTGACCTTCGGACAGGGCTGTGTTTGTTAGCACACACAGTGAGAGGCAGCATTTTTTCTGCAAGAAACTGAAGGGTCTGTCTGGAACAAAGCTGGTTGCCACTCTTTTATAGGAGCAGGAGTGGGGTGGGGGTTTGGGAATGAGGAAATTGTTACAGCCATAGGGCTGGCTGTGTATCTCTCCTTCACTCTCTCCTTCCTAAAATTGTTTGCCTGAGGTGAGGCAGATCATTTTGTGAGACATTTCTTTTTGTGCTCACTGAGGATCTGGGCAAAGTCATCTGTGATCTCATAGGAAGGAGGCACACTCTCATTCCAAACCCTAAGGAAAGTATAGGAAGAGGTAAGGAGAGAGAGAGCATCAAACTGAGCAGGGAGCAGGGTGTCAACTCTTTAACTGTTTGAGGTGAGATGGGTTGCTGTTAGAGGGGATTACTTCCGGGACTGTTAAGGAGGGTGTCCTCTGGCCACTTAGCAGGAGAGTTTTAACTCGATTAACTGTCCTTGGATCATGTGATTGTTGTCATGCCTTCCTGAAAAAACTTTAAAAAAATCCTTAGAGGATTGTAAACAGATGATTTTGCTACAGAGAAAAAAAATGAGATTTCTCAGGAAGGCGGACCGAGTGGGAGGAGTCGGGGTGGGAGAGCCAGAGTGAGCCAGTGAGATGAAATGGGTACAGCGTTGGCTCAGGGTGATGGTGATCAGTCCCTCTACCGTGACTTCCGTGACAAAGTGAGCAGCAGAAGCATCTGAGAGCCGCAGGGCATTGGAGGAAGAAAGTCAGAGAAAACAGAGGACTCTTGTTAAGAGTTGTATCTGGGCCGGGGTTTCTCCACAGCATCTGAAAGGTATTTTGCTACCTGTATTGGGAACAACAGATGGAGCTGAGGTAGGGTGAGAGCCACTGGGAAAGCTTAGGTGGAACATTTTGTTTGGGCATGGGGGGGGGGGGGGATGTTCAGTGAGTAAAACGTTTAAAAGACAATGTAAACATGTCAAGTATGGGGTTAATAGGGAAGGTCATGATCAGAGAGAGGAGACAGAGTGGGAGGGAGCCAGCAGCCCACACAGGAGGAGACTTGTGGCTGACTTCCTGTCTGGTCACTGAGCCTCACCTTCAAGCAGGTTTGGGTTTGTTGGTGTGGAGGCAGCATTGCTCATGGAGGAGGGTGGGCACAGACCCTGAGCAGCAGTCAGGTCTCCTCTTGGCAGCAGCCAAAGGACCCAAGTAGTTCTCGAGGGTGTTAAGCTAAGAGCGTATGCGACACGGGTTATGTAAGGAAGGGGTTCAGGCCAGTTTCAGTTCTGAGTCCTGTAAACAATGCCCACAGTGGCAAACAGAGGGAGGAGTTGGCTGTCCCATCAGAGCCCTCTCAAGGGTCGTTTTCCTGACCTGATTTCATTGGGTTTGTGGCACTGATCTCTCTTAACTGTTTCTTACTGACAGAAATCCTAGAACTTGGTAGGCAGAGGCAGGCGAATCTCCGAGCCTGAGAACAGCATGGTCTATAGAGAGTTCCAGGACAGCCAGGGCTATAGAGGAAAACCTCAAAAAACCCCGAAAACTGTAAATACCATGAGATAACAATGCAATCCCTCGTGGGAAGGGTTTACCTCCTGTCTACACATAATGTCTTTTCCCTGGGCTGCTGGTTGATGTTCTCCCTGTCCCAGAGTCACGAAAGGAAGCTTTGTAGAAAACTTTTAGACAAACATGATCAGGTCTAAAGTGGATAGGCCAAATCCCATCTCCAGAGCTAGCTTTTCAGTGAAGTAAAAAGTGTCAATTTTCTAATATTAGCTATGCTCAAAAGACATCTGAATCTCGGTAAGACTGAACCCAGTGATCTACGTATCCATAACGGGCACGTGCGTGTCTGCAGAGAGAAGCCGACAACCTGAAAAGATTCACAAGTATTTCTTCCTCTCATGAAGACACCAAGTTGTTAATAATATAATCACCTATAACACAGAGGCCAGTGAACAGAATACTATTAAAATACAAGTCAAAATACCCCAGGCTTATCGAGGCGGAAACAAAGATGCATCAAAAACACAGGCACGGGGCTGGAGAGATGGCTCAGAGGTTAAGAGCACTGGCTGCTCTTCCAGAGGTCCTAAGCTCAATGTCCAGTAACCACACGGTGGCTCACAACCATCTGTAATGGCATCCGGCACCTTCTTCTGGCGTTCAGGCATATAAGCAGACAGAACACTGTGTACAAAATAAATAAATAAATAAATAAATAAATAAATAAATCTTTAAAATGACTGTTATTTTGGGGGAGAAAAAAAGACACAGGCAAAGGAATCTCAGGAACAGAAAGACTCCATATCTCAGTTACAGGAAGCAGGCTCAGAGACCCAGCAGAAATGTCTGGCATTCAGCTCTGTCGTAGTGGGAGTTAAGTGGCCAGGAGGAGAAGGGTTAGGATGAGCTGGGTGTTATCTGGGAGGAAGGGCCTTGAACTCCATTTTATTTTATCACACTATCTAAATCAGTTTAGATATTAAAAGGAGAGTTCTGATTGGCTGCCAGTGGTCGTCCAACGTTTATTGAGGCCACACTGGGACCAAGAGCTGAACAGATGAACCTGGTCTGAGGTCTGCCAAATGGAACATTTTTAGACTAGCTACGGACAGGCAAGGGTGTGTCCTTTGGCACAGACAATTTGGAAAGGACAGTGTGGCTGTCTGTTTGCTCTGAAGCAAAGCCGAAGGCATTAGAGTGCAGGTGTGGATGCTCCTGGGTAGAGTAGAGTGTGCTATGGGGTCAGGAAGGAAGCACATGGTGGAGCTGCTGCCACCCAAGGTAGCTGGAGGCTGAACCCCATGGAGTTAGGTTAGTAGAGTCAGTCATTCTGTCTGTCTGTCTGTCTGTCTGTCTGTCTGTCTGTCTGTCTATTCCTATATCTGTCCCATTTACATATGTACATATAGATATATTAATTTTAGTCTATCATTGATTACAGATTGCTAGGGACCAATGATCATAATTTTGCTGTGTTTTTGACTTGCCGTGTGATGGGGCAGAGGAGCTTGGGGCTACTAGAGGAAGCGCTTGAGGTGAGGCCCTGGGACATATGGCTAGGGCAGCCAAACCAACAGCATCTCTTCGGTACAAACCAACCTAGAAATGACTGGAGTTGGAGGAGCAGTAGTGAGTTAGCAGCCAATCAGAAGAGATCCCCACGAGAGTGGTGTCTAAGCCCAGTGGGACTCACCAGGCAAAAGAAAGAGCAGGTGTTGCCAGTACAGACAGCAACGTGTGCCGAGGCCTGGAAGCAAAGATGGGCAGGAGAACATGGCCCATTAAAAAGCATGTGTGTGTGTATGTGTACGCACATACGTGCATGCGTGTGGGTGCATGTGTGTATGTGGATGCATTTATATGTATGTTTGTGCATATATATGTGTGTATGTGTGTTTGTATATATGTATAGTGTGTGTTTATGTATGTGTGTATGTGTGTGTGTGTATGTGTGTGTGTGTATGTGTATGGTGTGGGTTATATGTGTTATGTGCATTTGTGTATGTGTGTATTTGTGTATATGTGTAGTATGTTCATTTCTGTATATGTGCATTGTATGTGTGTGTATATGTGTGGCTTATATGTAGTATGTGTATTTATGTTTGTATATATATGTAGTGTTTGTGTATGTGTGTTTGTGTTTGTATACGTGTAGTGTGTGTGTATGTTTGTGTTTGTATATATGTGGTATATGTGTGTGTTTGTATATATGTGTAGTGTGTGTATGTGTGTATGCATGTACATGTGTGTGTGTGTGGCTGGGGGACGGTGGCAGAGTCTGTATTGGAAAGATGGGAGTAGTCCCAGGTCTTAAAAAACCAAACCAAGGAGTTCATTCAATCTTTATGCAGAGGGGCAAGACCTAGGGAACTGTGAAGCATTTTAAGCAAGAAATACATGTTTTTTGTTTATTTGTTTGTTTGAGACAGGGTCTTATTATGTAGCCCTGGCTGTCCTAGGGTTTGCTATGTAGAACAGGCTAGCCTCAAACTCTC